CTTTTTCGGCTAAACCCTTAGCGGATGTCACCAAGTGTAATAAAAGTGGTGGAGCCTCTAACCTCAACCAACCTTGTGACAATATTGTCACTCGCCGCCTTGTAGATCTCAGCAGGTTTTAAGTTGACTTCAAGTTTAGCCAGTACTAAACGATGATCAGTCCAGCATTCTACGTGAATTCTGATGAACTATTATGTAGTCTAACATATGCCAGTGTCCCGATCGGGGGTGACACCAAGTACTTACCTCAGAATTTTTCATGCATTTGAAAAAAGGTATTCGTTATGGCTAAGACATGTTCTGTGCACAATTCCAACAGCAATTCTCCGCTTGAGTTTACTTTTCCGATTTCGTGGGCCCTAATAACTCTCGCTTTAAGAACCCTGGCATTGAAATCTCCCAAGAGAATAATATGTTCTTTTCTTGTAGTACAGTCATATAAGGATTCATCTACTGCAAAATTCACAGTGTACTGTAACTTTGCATACACATTTACTTTTATTAAACTAATAATTTATTGAAAGTCCCCACCAATATCTTATTTGCGTTTTGAGATATTCAAGGTCAAATGTCACACAAAAGAGTTTTTCTTAAATATTTTGCTTTCGGTATGTCCTACGACTATTTTGGCTATAAAAGGAAAAAAAATATTGGAAAATTCTTTCCAATAAATGTTATTCACATATTTCACGTCAAACCAGCCGTGTCCACTTTATACGCCAGGAAAACAGAGGGTAGCACCCGTTCTATCTCGACCTCTGCATGTTCAACGAATCACTGCAGGACGGTATATTTTCAGACTTCTGGAAATCAAGTTTTGTGGTACCCATTCACAAATCGGGTGATTCAGAAAATGTGACTCATTATCGCCCTATAAGTATCCTCGATGCTATCCCAAAAATATTTGATAATATAGTCACAAAATTCTTAACATCTTGCCTTGGACCTGAAATTAAACACAAGCAGTTTGGCTTCAAAATAAAATTTTCTGTCGAACAAAATCTCCTCACTTATGTGGACATCCTGACTAGCGCCTTAGAGAGAGGTGAAGAGGTACACTCTATTTACACCGACTTCTCCAAGGCGTCTGACAGAGTGAACCACGAAGTTTCAATTAAAAAACTATAGACCTTCGGCGTTTCAGGTTCTCTCCTACAATGGATAAAGCAATATGTCATAGGTAGGACTCAAATGGTACACCTTAGCAACTTTACGTCTTCTCAAATATTAGTATCATCAGGCGTCCCCCAGAGCTCGTACCTGATGTGCCCCCTCCTATTCAACATCTTTATCAATGACATTTATCTTGTTCTAAGCATAGTCTTTTCCTTCAGATGACTTGAAACTGTTACTAAAAATAACCTCTACAGACTATTTAGCGCTTCAAGAAGATCTAGACAGATTATCACAATGGTGCCATGCCAATTGCCAATGGCATGGATTTTGATGTTCTCGAATGCAGGTCACATTGATGATAGTCCATTAGGCTGCGTGGATCAAATGAAACATAGGTGTGCTATTAACCTCAAATCTGGATTTTCCAGCTCGTGTTGACAATGCAATCAACAAGGCTTTACGCATGCTTGGCTTTGTGAAAAGCGGGAGGCTTCTCGACCATTAATGCTATTAGTACTTGGTGTACTATTCCTATGTCAGATCACATTTAGAGTATGCTGCTTCAGTATTGTTTCCTAATTATGTATGCCATATTCATGGAATTGAAACTGTTCACAGGTACCTACATTAACTACAAATTTTACGACAATAATGAATTTCATTATTCTGCTTTGCACATCATCACACTTAACAACTCGCTTCCGTAGAAGGAAACCAGAAAGATCTAATACTAGTTCAAAACTCTAGCTACCTTATTTTTTCTGTAGAGTTGTGTGAGCTAGTATAAAAATGTTTCAAAGAAGCAAATGAAGGTTATGAAAAAATTAAGAAAAATGAAAAAGTGCATGGCTCCTTGGCACGATGGCACTACCTCACCACCCTCTGCTCATTGGTTGTACAGAAAAGACTTATATAAACTTTTTTTGTAGAGAATTTTCCGCTTTTAATTTGATGTAATTACGCAAAAAGTTATATAGTACGGGATACGAGGCCTATTTCATCAAATCATTTTACACCGTCTTGCATTGTTATCATCAGTTAGATAAAATGGTACTGAAACGCACTTGTGCAGGGAAATAGATGGGAGTGGGGGATTTCGCTGAAAAAAATGTTTCAGAAAATGTCGTCATAAATTAGGAAAATATATAATTATACACCGTCTTGCATTTCTTTATTGAGTCAGTTTGTACACAAACAAAATTGAATTACCACATGCAAGACGTTTTTATGGGGGTTTTAGGGTTGCAATAGAAGATGGAAATTGTCAATTTGTGAGAGGGGTGGAAAATCATTTTACACCACTCCATTGTTGATTTAGATTAAAGCTTGAATGTAGAATAGCTACTGGATACTGATACAAGACGTCCTGTGGAGGGATAACGGGCTGCAAGACGGATGTCAATGCGTTGTCTCATGAGGGAGTGAAAATTTATTTTACACCACTTCATGCTTATGTCCGCCGGAAGAATATATGTTAAAAAATGGTAATACATCAGTCCAAGACGTTTTTTCGGGGAAAAAAGTTAATAAATCCGTTTTCTTTTTTTACTGAACTTTTGAGTTATTTACTGAACCGTTCACTGTTCATTCTTTTCTAAATCATACAGATGGAAAAGGACAGTTGACATAGCAGCTCAACAGGGGAGTCTGCTGAATACAGGAATTATAATTTCTGTTTACAATTCCAGGCAGATCATTTTTTTGCTGCTTTAAAATCAAATTTCTCAAATTTACCTAATACCTACTTACAATCCGTTAGGTGTTATGACATATCCACCTCAAAAAATAAATAAAATGATTATAAGCTGTCAGAAAAAGAACAATTTTCAACCTTTTTTTTTTGATGTCCGTAGAGTCATTCAAATATACATATTAAGAGAATTTTGCAAAATAGAATTATTCTACGTGGTAAAAGCAAAAATATCTAAAATTATTGTGCGTAATTTGTAATTTGGAGTAGTATTCACATTTGTACCTGATGGATTTACCCCCGTCAAAATTAGTCAACTTCATCACCGTCTTGCAGTCCTTTCTTTCCATTTAGAACGTCTTGTATTTTTTAAAATGTTATCAATGTGTTCTGTTTTTCCCATTAGTATCAGTGCAAGACGGTGTAAAATGATTTCTCACTCCTTCATAAGACAACACATTGACCTCCGTCTTGCAGTCCGTTATCCCTCCACAGGACGTCTTGCATCAGTATCCAGTGGCTATTCTACATTCAAGCTTTAATCTAAATCAATAATGAAGTGGTGTGAAATGATATTTCACCCCTCTGAAAAATTGACAATTTCTATCCAATATAACAACCCCAAAACCTCCATGAAAACGTCTTGCATGTGTTGATCCAATTTTGTTTGTGTACAAATTAACTCAATAAATAAATGCAAGACGGTGTATAATTATATATTTTCCCTGTTTATGACGATATTTTCTGGAATTTTTTTTTCAGCGAAATCCCCCACTCCCATCTATTTCCCCGTACAGGTGCGTTTCAGCATCATGTTATCTAACTGATGATAACAATGCAAGACGGTGTAAAATGATTTGATGAAATAGGCCTCGTATCCCGTACTATATACGCCTGACAAAAAGCAAGATAATTGAGGAAATAGAATTTTCATGACCTTAAATATCTGAAAACCCAAGCGCGATATTGATTATTGATGGGAACTTTTAAGACATTATTTCTTGAGGTAAAATAAATGTGTAGACAAAATTTAGGCTCACTCGGATTTTTTCAGAGGTGCTGCTTTTTCCGGCCTAATATAACTGGAGTATCGGTACGGTACGATTTTACCCACAAACATCACTTTGGTAAATTGACTAACAATGTCGCTTGACATATCAATCTACAGTAAAAGTTTGAAATTTTACCGAATCGACAATGAATTCATCACATGAAGAACTTCCTAAAGACATTATTTCAGCAGCAGCTTATGTAGAAAGTTGGAATTTGTTACCCCTGAAGTCAAAAGAAAGATATGAGAAGCAATAGGTACTCCCATTTTATAGATTGTGGTAATACCAAAAAGGAAAATCAACAAAAGAGAAATATTTTTGGCATATTTTTTGAAATTGTCCAAATCCTGGTTCTTGGGAACCGAACACATTATGGTCCAGAGTCCAGACATTCAATGATACAAGCATATAGTATATTCCGAATTGAATAAATACATAGGTATTCTATAGCGTCTCCTAGTTGTAGTACCTAATAAAATGTATGAAATGGAAAACAATATCGGCAAAATGGTACAATAAATAAATTACATTTATCTCTTCCTCAATAAACCTTACCTTTTGATTTCCCATGGCAAATCAAGAACAAAAAGCTTAAACTTCTTAACGACCACTGTCAGCGCGTAAGATACGACACCCAGGTTCTTTTATTGCTAATGAGAAACTTGCCCATTTTCCATTTCAGTAAAATGACAATAAATAATTGTCCGGTATAATGTTATCTGCTTAATAGACTATTACGAGTGATTTAATTGACATTTAACGTGGTTATCTGGAATTTCTAGTATGTGGTTCTACATAGGGTAGCAATGAATTATGAGAGTTTGTCACACATTTTGAGAGATAAGTGTTAGTTATATCATTAATCAGAATAAAATAATTATGAGCAAAGAGTAGAATTATTGAGCCTTACAACTTGCAACAAAGATAATTAATAAAATCATTTATAAACCCTTCTTGAGAGAACGCGCCTTGAACATAAAGCGCATCAAAAAAAAGGAAGAAACAAGAACATAAGTAATTAAACTAATGTACCTTACACCTGACAGAAATCTCATATAGTTCCGTGAGTTTCTATCACGGAGAAGATTTTTTTTGATGACTTATTTTTGCCTGAGATTTGATATTTCGTTGTTCTTTTCCAGGATCCAGAGAAGCAGCATTCACTTACGCAATAAGTAGTGCGGGAGTAACATTCGCCATTTCAGAAGCATGTGCGAGAGGCAATATTTCTTCGTGTGGTTGTCAAAGTCTCTCCAGAACGCGAGAGCCAGCACCAAATGGTTGGAAATGGGGTGGATGTAGTGTAGATATAGATTTCGGAACGAAATTTGCTAGACAATTTATGGACGCTAGGGAATTTGATGGCGACGAAAGAAGTTTGATGAATTTGCACAATAATAAGGCGGGGAGAAAGGTTGGTAGGTTATTTCAAGAATTTTAGCTTTAAAAAAAATAAAATAAAATAATTCATTGTCCATTGTCATACGGTGAACAATAAGCCCGAAAATTAAAGGGTTTCTGTCTCGTTTTATAGCAGAGAAGGCAGTGCCATCATTTAAGTGCCTGTCAATTAAGGATTTTCTTGGCTCTTGATGGTCGTGAGAAAAGAATTGATTGTGGCCTTAAAATACAATGACTGTAACATAATTTCTTATGGACACCCTTTAAGCTACCAATTTACCTCTCACAAAATGCATTCGATAAATCTGCATACCTAACCACAGTATACAATAATGTCTAAGTCGAGAAGGTACTACTTAAGTAGGGTATAATATTACGCACATTCTTGACATTGAGTTTCTTTTAGAAGATCACCTCCAGCAGTCAGAAAGGCTATTATTTCGACAAGGGGATTTATATATGCCTTCGTGTAAATTGCGATGTTTCAAATAGCTCTGCGAGGCGCATAACATGAGCCTTATAATTTATTTAAATATTTATTTTAGATAATCAAATCAAGTATTTTACTAGAATGCAAATGTCATGGAGTTTCGGGAAGTTGTACAATGAAAACTTGCTGGAAAACTTTACCAACTTTTCGCCAGGTTGGGGATGCTTTAATGGACAAATATTATAGAGCAAGGTAAGAATTTGCTAGTGTAAAAATAACTGAATAAATATCTCACTACATCGACGTTCCACATTTAATATCAGATCATATAAGTCCTCTGACAAATACCTATTACATTGTTTGTTTGTTTCTCTTCTACCAAAGTTGTTTGCTTTATGGCTTACATTTTCTCACTTGAAGTACTTACTTACCTCTTTCTGTTTAAATTTTTCTGTAAATTTTAGTATCGTGAGTTTTATTTTCACAATTTTTGTATTATCTCTAGGTAAATCTGTATAATTTTTATGCAATATTTCCAACTTGGTTATAGGTATGTATGTAAACCCAAATCAAAACCTTTTCCATAAGAAAAACTAAAATTTTTGTTATAAATAGAAAATTTTTCTTGATTTTGTCAGATAACTCTTTTGAGGTCTTGCGATCTTCAATATGCATCATGCAATGATCATTTGGCACTTTCATCAGTCGAGGCTTGACTAAATAATAACTTGCCTCCAGTCACCATGTCATATAGGATATAATGTGCACTCCTTATAAACCATTTCAATTCGTCTGTGATTGTCTAAACATTTCTCTTCTAGAAATCTCCCGATGAACGATGATCCGTAATTCGCTAGATTACGTTGTCATAAACTCTAGTCATCGTATTTTTTTTAAATATATATAGGGGTTGATCAATAATAATAACCTACAAGTTTAATGGCTATCTCTCTTAGTTCAAGCCCTAGGAGGCTGGAAGTTTGGGCGGCGTTCCGTATCTCAAACAGAGTTACTGATCGGTATGAAGCGGTGCGTCGATTGTGACAGTCTGGTTCCTGAAAATGCGGTTAATGTGTGGAACGCTTCGGTTCAGCTTTGATTTCTCTTGGATGCTAGATGATAGAATATTATCCTCCTAAAAATATATTTTTAATGAGAAATTGACATGAATGAATGTGATATTTACCTCTTGTATCATTTTCAACGCAAATACACTTCGAATGCGGAAGGAAAGTAAAAAACCTAACCTAACAAAAAAATGTCAGAAACTGAAAACAAACCGAAACAACCAAAGCTTTTCGATCGGTAGATTCGGTTGACAAATGGGAATTTTTCAGGAACCGTGTTTCATAACCTTTTCAGGACTCGTTAGGTTACGGAACGGAAACCGGAAAAACCAAGAATCTCGGTTAACTTACGAAACGTCGCCTAAGAGTGCCAGTGGCGGTTCGCTCATATGGGCAAGGTGGGCACCGCCACCCTGGAGAGAAAATGGAAAAATACAAAATACCTTCAATCAAAGATAATCCTACTTCGGAGTAGAATTATCTTTGCTTTAATACAATATTTGAAAAGGCCGCGACCTTGAAAATCTAAAAAAAATTGCCCATGGCTGTTTTTTATTTTTGTCGCCCACCCTTACTTGGACACCACGAGCCGCCACTGAAGAGTGCATATTCAGGGGCGAGAGCCGATATACGTACTTATGTGTTATTTATAACTCTATGGTGTTCAGAATTCGAAATTCATCCCCGGGGAGTGTTTACCCAAAAAATCGTCTCTTGATTAGTCCCGTTACCCCAACGACCTGTCGCTAAGCGACAAGCAGGCCTTATAAGACAATGTGTTTGCGTCTTCCTAGAAGTTTTTAGTCCTAAATAAAGCATGCGAACAAATGCGAAACCTTGATGTAGTGATGATATACATATTGTTCATTTATTTGTGGTTATTACCGACAAACGACAAACAAATTTATTTATTTTAATTCTTCTTGATGATATTATAGAACTGTCACAGCTGTACCTCAGCTAGCAAGTCCCAGGCATATTCATACACGAAGAAAAAAGCAGCAACACTTAGTGATGACCAAAGGAAAAATTGCCAGTAAAAAAACGCCAAAGAAGGTCGATTTAGTTTATTTACAAAATTCTCCAAATTATTGTGAACGAGATTTGACTTCTGGCAGTTTAGGAACTGTTGGGAGGACTTGCAATAGAACATCAAAAGGTTAGTGATTTTTTTTTCAATAGTTCCCTATCGCTATAGGTAGGTATCTTCCCAAATTGCACAAGAAGTCTTAAAGATATTATTAAATACTCTAGTTCACAGTAGCTCATGACTAAGCAAAGTGTCTCAACAAAATGATTTTTTTTTTTGTTGAGACTCTTTGCTTAGCTTCTCTACAAGATTGTTCAAAAATCTAAGATTATTAAAGTATTTGTGCAGGAAGACTTCGATTTTTTCTTATGGAATTATCTATTCTAAGATCCGCTTAAACAAACATAAGATATGTGATGATGGAATTATCTATCTGAAGATGTCTTAACTGAAAACCGAACCAATCCACTCGTGAAGAGCAAATCCATCATCATTCATTCAATTGCAACTCCTTCTCTTCTCTGTAATTTTTGCTACCTACCTAAGAAAAATGCAGAACAAAAAATAACTGCAAACCAACTTCACAATGTATACAAACGAGGACTTTTTTGGAAAATGTTGCCTCAAAAAAAAAAAAAAATCAGTAACAGGAGAAAAACAAAGCATAGAGAGCATTACACCTAAGGTTCAGGAACATATGGTGAATCGACTGCACCTCCACAAAATTTGCACACGATTCCACTTCTTGACCGTTTCGTTGTCACATCTATGAATGATTTGAGTGATTTGATGATATAAGTACGGAAGCAAGGCAAGGTTTAGTGATTCTCTGATAATGCAACTTATTGTATTACTGCTAAAACAGGTTTGACACCTTCGCCAGATGCAGTAGCCTTAAGGATTCCGCGTTTTCATTGCAGGCGACGCCCGTGTGCCCTGGCACCTACGAAAAGAGTTAGCTTATAATGGCAAGCTAGGGTTAAAAGAGGTTGCAGGCAGTCCCGCACTAATTTTGAGTTTATCTGTTGGCATGCTAGAGCTTTAATAGCTGCCCGTCTGTCTGAAAAGATTGTGATATCCCCTTCTCAGATTTTCCCGCAGCTATATCTCTATTGGATGTATATCGGCTTGGAATACGGTTGTATGCTTCCTTAGTGTAGGAAACCATTTTTCTCTTGGGGATAGGCCATATACTCTGGCAACGGTTCCACTATCGGTTTTGGAGCTATAAGTGTACCATAGGTACTTACCTACATTTCTGAACTAGTGAGTTTTCTGTTTTGTTTTCCCAGTTAATCTGGGTTTGAAACGGTTTGTGAGTGTTTAATCTCGGGGTCATGTTATCACTTCTCATCTCAAACAGTGAGTTTGTAACAATGTTTGTTATTCTGGTATGTCCGGATGTTCATCTCGGATTCCAGTTCTGGCTACAATTGAGTCTGTAAGCCCCCATTATTTCCTCAGCATTGATAATGATATCAAGTGACGGGAGATTCAGTATGATTTCCATAATAGTAGTTGGAGTGCTTCTCATTGTACCCATTATGCAGAGACAAGCTAATCTTTGAAGTTTGTATAGCTCCATCATTGCTTTGCTCTGTTCAACTTTTGGCCACCAAACTATTGATCCGTAGATTATTGGGGGTCTTACCACTACTGTATAGATCCAATATACTATGTTGGGTAGAAAACCCCATCTTTTTCCCACTGCTCTTTTGGTGGCCATTAACGCTATTTTACCTTTGTTGGTGATGTATTCAACGTGCGTGTTCCAGGTTAGGTTTGCATCCAGAATAATTCCTAAGTACCTATTCCCGGACGAATTGTATTTGCTTTCCAAAGAAAGTGGGAGGGAGTAGTTTTCTTCCTTTCGTGAAGGGGACCATTAAAGTTTTCTCAGGGTTGACACTCAGGTTTGCCCTTTTTACCCAGTCCACATTTTTGAGTGCTCTTTGTATTTGCGCAGAAGTACATAGTTTGTAAATTTTCCCCCATGACATACGGTGATACATCATCTGATCAATTGATAGGCATGTTGGTTTTGGTGTAGTGGCTTTTCTTTAGGAAAAGTTTCCCTGACATGTTTATAAAGGAGTTGTTCAATTGTCTTCATAATAAAGGACGATAGTGGATAGTGTAATTGGACTAAAAGCTTTTACCTGCGAGAAGTCTTCGCCAGGTTTTGGTATAAAAACCATTCTTGCCTTTCTCCATGGATGGGGAATATATCTTGTGGCTAGACTAACTCGTAGTGTGGCGGCATTATGATGGATTTACCCTACTGGAGTAGAGCTGGTATAATCCCCAGTAGCACAACAATATTGGTAAAATATTAGATTATATTTACATATTGGCCCAAGAATGGAAACGACAGATTTTTATTTTTTTTTGCCCAATATATATTGTAAATATGAATCCGATATTGGAGAAAGATATTGTCCCAATATTGCTTATTAATAAACATGTAATATTGCTTTTAGAAATATACCCAACATTTGTTTTTCAGATTGGCACAATGTATATACTTTTTATATGAATCCGCTAGTGAATATAAATATTTCTCCAATGTTCCTCCAATATTACCAATTAATAAATATGAAATATTTCTTCTAGAAATATTTACGATATTTCGTAGAAATATTTACAATATTTTTTTGGAAAAACACATGTATTTAACCAAAGCTCCAACACCTGCAGACTAGACCGGTTTCCGGCTTCGAGCTTGTGAGCGAAGCACACCAACTTAAAGAAACAGGTTTGAAGGAAACTCAAATACTAGGAAAGAGCAAGGCCATCAGTAGCGCGTGGTGCCCTCTCTCGGTAGTCCTGATTGATATGGAAAAGGTACATCTCCTATATATCACCAATATTGGATAAATATTAAATATAAACATGAATAAAAGATATTGCCAAACATGGATTGGATCCAATATTGGATCAATCTTGGATTCACATTTTATATAATAATAATGTAGGAAAAAGATTAATCTCCAATATATTACCAATATTGGCTACAAATTGCTAATATTGGACCCATATACAATATTTTACCAATATAGAATCAATATTTGGCCAATATGGATAAATATATCACTGTTATATTAGAAAAAAAATGTTTGCCCTATTATATCCAATATTGGCTTAATAATGCAAATAAAAACATTATCTATGCATATTGGTCCATTAATGGATACAATACTATGGTAATATTAGAAAAAGTTGTGTTGCCAATAATCCACCAATTTTGTCTAAATAATGTCAATGAAGATATTTTTTCTGTATATTAGCCCATTCTTAAGTAAATATAATATTACAATGTGGAAAAATATGTATTGCCAATATTGGCTCAATAATGCAAAAAAAAAACAATTTTTTTGTGCTTATCGGTTCAATGATGAATAAATATATCACTGTTATATAAGAAAAATATGTATTGCTGCCGATTAAAATATTGTTTGTGCATATTGGCCCATTCTTGGATAAATATATTATTATAATGATGAAAGAAGTTGTATTGCCAATAAATGTCTAATGTTGGCTAAAAAATTCCAATATTGGGCCAACATACAATATTGGTCCAATGTATCCGCAACATGGGACCAACATTGTGTGCTACTGGGGATGGCTTCGGGCTCGGGCGATTTGAATGGTGCAAAAGAGTTTATTGCCCATTCGTTTTTTGCTGTGTCCCAGTTCTCTTTAGTAGTCTTGATTTTGTGATTACTATGAATTGGTGAGTTTCTTTCCGTTTTGATATCGACAGATTTTGAGAGGTGAGTGTCCAGTAGGATCTGCAGAGTCTCTCTTCCAGAATCTGTGTAGGTGCCTTTTGGTTTTTCAAGGGTCCCACTGGATTTATAGGGTCATCCTTGGACAGAATTTTTTTGAAGTGTCGCTGCTTCATTGGTGTTTTCCAGCTCTTGGCAGTATTTTCTCCATGATTCAGTTTTTGCCTTCAGGATCTGTTTATTATGCGAAGTTAAGGTGGAATAGTAGTCGTCCCACAGTAATATCAAGTACCTACCTTTTTACGAGTTCTTGTAACAAAAGTAGGCTCATTGCTATTAAGAATTTCGAAACTTTACATAAATTACATAACATAATTAGGTATATATGATTCATTATCCGATGTTTTTACGGAAAAATCCGTTATTTGATCCCCGTTCAAAGATATCACTTTGAGGTTTAGATAAATTCTATCTGTATCCACTCTGACTCAACAGAAGATAAAACCTCAGATGGAAGATGATATAAGACTAATCTGTTATTGAATTTTCCGTTGAAGCCAAGGCTATTATTTTAGAAAAAATACGGTAGATGACAATAAATCTCTTTGGGGAATATTAAGATTCAAAGGATAAATCGATAGACGATAGACCTCTAAACGGACGCTATCAATACTTCAATGTTTCAACCTCAAAGAAAAGTTGTTCTACACTTACTCATTATACAATTTACATTGTTAATTTTAATTTCAAATCTGCACTTATTGTTTTATTAAACAGGGTGGATATTTCAGGTAGTTATATACAAAAATCATAATATATGTATGAACATGGTTAATTACTTTAACCTTACTTTTATTATCTTTCCGGTCCCTAATTTATGGGTTCATCTTTAGGTTCAGAAACCTCGTATTGGGAGTTATTTTATTTTACCTGTGCAAACTTTTCTTCTCAAGCTTTCTATGAAATTCCAAACAATCCTAGAAGTATAATATGAACAAAATTGGAGCAAATTTATATATCTTAAATTGATCTCTTTCTATTTGTATTGTAGGTACAGATGGATGTAAATACATGTGCTGCGGCCGAGGGTACAACACGCACCAATTCATCAGATCAACACAGTGCAGATGCAAATTTCATTGGTGCTGTAGGGTCGAATGTGATACTTGTGTTGAAAAATTCGAAGAATACACTTGCAAGTAAAAGTAAAAAAAGTTAGCTATATTTGTCTAGTAGGTACTATTAGACGAAAATATAGGTTAATTAATGTGCAATCAATTTATAAAAATGACAAACTTATGTACTTATAAATTTATGTAATATGTGACAGTATCCAATGATAAATCAAATTAATGGAGAGAATCTCATTACCTAATAACATAAATTATCTATTGCAAATTATGCTAAAAGGTTTTTTCAAAGAAATTAAAAAAAAAAACCGTAGGTATATGTTACCTTTTAAATTCTGCACAGAAAATATTTGTGATTTATGTATTTATTATATATTTTGTTCTGTATTTAGTAGTATGTAGGTACATATTTATTTATTGTAAATATCTGTTAGGTTAGTTATAATAATATGTAACTAGAAGTATTAAAAAAAAAAACAGAAAACCAATTTTCAAACTTTATTGAACAATATGCAATAATTAAAGGTACGAACAAATAGTAAGTATTACCTATATTTTTTAACGAGAGTATAATAAACTGTTTAAATTAGTTGAATAAATGAAGAATACGTTTACTATTTATGCGGGTTTTTCTTTGCATCTACCATATCCTATCACGTATCGTTCTATAACAAATAAGGGCTTATCAACGATGTATGGCTTGCTTGAGCAAGAAAATTGGCAGTTCCTTCAGTTCGACACTCTTGTTGATGACGAGTGTGATATCCTTCTTAAAAAGCTTATTAATGTAAGAGACATCGCTTTTCCAGAATGTCGCAGGAACATCAAGGGGCGGCATGCTGCTGAGATAAAATAGTTTGGCCGAACTTCAGGCAATGAGGAAAGAACTGCGTATCCTCAATGAGTCTAGCAGGGAGTCAGATTGTCCGCTGTTGAGAGAGGACCTGAGAAGGTGTAGGCGGAATATAAGGTAGCAATCGCAAAAGCCAAAAAAAGGCAAACACTGACCATATTAAATAATCAGATAAACGGAGTGGGAGTAGGGTGGCCTCTGAGTTGAAATCGGGGGAACTAAATGACTACTTTGCTGAGGTTGCAGAGACACTGGTGGCAGCACTGCCACAGTCAATTCTTTCTCATCGTATGTATGTGCAGCGTTTACATCCGGGTCTTAATCGGGGCCGGTTTTCCTTCCGTAGGGTTACTTTTGTTGAGGTTCGGTATGCAATAGATGCTATAAAAAGGAAACACAGCAAAGACATCTTTGGACTAAATATAAGTAATCTTGATAAAGTCAATTGATAATATCCCTATTGCACCCCTGACAAAGCTGTATAATGCCTGCATAGAACAGGGAATATACCCAAATGCTTTTAAGATAAGCAAAACTGTACCGATTTTCAAAAAAGGCGATCCAGGTTTTCTCGACAACTATAGGCCTATTTCATTGATTCCTGTTCTTTCGAAGATTTTTGAGGTCTTACTGAGGAATCAGTTGTGTGATTACCTCGAATTAAATGGTATACTCGTGGGTGAGCGGTTTGGCTTTAGGAAGGGAAGATCTACTGTAATGGCAATAAACAGGGTGTGTGAGGGCATAGTCCAGGGCTTTGAAGCAGATGATTTTGTGGGTGCTGCGTTTTGCAACCTGTCCAACGCCTTCGACTGTGTCTCCCATGAAATCCTCTTGGAAAACCTTGAATTTTATTGAGTGGAGCCATGAATAAGTTGCCAGTGTTTCGAGGTTATCTCACAGAGAGGGCGACAGGTCATTTCGTTTCAGGGAAATGTATTGGATGGGAGAGTTATGAGATATGCAGTGCCCCAGGGCTCAATTCTAGGACCTCTGCTCTTTCTTATATATGTCAATGACCTGTCATCGTCATTGCAACCAAGTGGACGACACCAGTTTCCTGTTGCGGTCTGGCGAGTGTGATTCACTGAGAAAGCAAATGAGAGAATGTGTTGAGAATGTGGGTGACTGGTTTATATCGAACCGACTAACTTTAATATGACAAAAACACAACAGGTTATTTTCTCACCTAGGCAGCATGAGGTGGCCGACAATCCCCAGCAGATGGGGTTATCGGTAGATTCGGTAGAGTAGACGAGCGACAACCTTATGATACAAGAACGCATAATTACCTGCGTATACAGTTTTTGAGGCTGCGAAGGTATTTTATGAAAATCTGACTTTGTTCTACGATGTGATGTAGTTAATTATAAGTGTGATATTGATTGTTTTGTATAATTGAGTGGACTGACAGTCCCATCAACTTTATGTTTTGTAATCTGTAATAGGTTTAAGTAACTTTTACATTTTTCACATTTTTACATTTTTATTATTTATGTTTGTATTTCTCAAGTAGAAGTATAGTACCTACCTACCTAAGTATAATTTTGACGATTGTTAAGACTGTAAAGTTTGTTCCCAGATTGTCTATAATCGTTGTGAGTGGTTCCAAAAACCACTTGACTAATATACGTTTTTCTACTGAAATTTCATATATACTTTATTATACGATTAAAATCTGTTTCATAATGAACTTCATTATGATACAGATTTTTCAGCCACTGAAATCGAGTATTTTGAACATGAACAATGTTTATATAAAAATAACAGACTTGCTTTGGAATTTTGGATTGTTTCTATTAGTATTTACTAGCTAACAACAAGAAATTAATAAATCGGGTGCGAAATTTATGCCCAAATGACGTCTAGGTCATAATTTTTGAAATTGTCAAGTTGTCAACAATAATTGTTACCAGTTGAGAAATTTACTATTCTTAAAAAATAAATATGTTTTTCGAATATTAATGAAAGTAGAAAAAATAGTGTATGCAACTCTCATGTAATGGCCATTAATACACTCGCATGTTATATACGAAACTCGCCTGCGGCTCGTTTCGTATCCTACAACATGCTCGTGTCTAAAGGCTATGATTACATGATCATTGCATAATATACTATTGAATGACGTGATGATAGCTTTTTATGAAACAATAAGCTGTAATGAAACGTTGTGATATGGACATTGAAAAAACGTTTACCCAGAAACAGTTTCTTTTTCTTGTTTCGGAAACGTCCTACCACGACCACAGTATGCGTTTTTATTTTAAACTTTTGAACTTTGTGCTTGTGAGACTTTGTGAAGATATTTTGGACATCATAAGTACTTGTCGCATAACCACGCTTATCCCAGTACAACTTACCCTTGAAAAGAATTATTGTAGGATTTTAGGGAGCCACAATTATGCTACTTTGATCAGTATATAATTTAGACATTTTAGGCTATATTCGAACATAATGTTACTTTGTAGTAAAATTGCCTTTGACGGGTCAAAGGCTAGTGTACCTACCTAAGCTATAATGATTTATCTGACTGTTCTAATTTTAGTAGTCGCTATAGGTAGGTAGGTACCATCGTCACCAAAAGTAACTGGGACAGCATCACATTAGCTCTTGTCCTATTATATGAATTTTATTGTCAAATATTTTTCAACTGTGAATTAAATTTAAATTAATGCATTGAAATGAATGACAGTAGAATTAGTCCAGGAGATTATTATGCATTATTTGTGTCCCAGATACTTTTGGTGACGATGGTACCTACGTAATTTATTCACACTAGTATTTATCTTCAATTAAAGAAAAGGAAATTATTTCACAGGTTGCAAACATAGTCAAGTATAACCATGAAATTTTAATTTCTATAGATGCAGGGTCCATCATTATGGATTTTGATATGGGCCACCTCATATATTTGCCTTCACCATACAGTCAAAATTTCTACTTTCGTTTAGCATACTGACAGGAATTTTCAATCCTAATATTAACCCAGAAAGATTATTGATGTCATATACCCTAGGAGTAACAAATAATATAACAAATTTATATAACTGTTACTTATTTGCAATTATTAGCATTCTATAAAGGTGGTACATAACAATTAGCTGGTTAGTAAGTCACATTTACATTATATAATGACAATCAAACAAAGTTATATAAAAAAAGTTTATAACATCAAACAAACTTTTAATACCTATTGTAGTTATATCATCCACCGGTAACGAGTAATGTAAAATATTTATATAACAAATATCATAAATGTGAGTAATCTATTCTATAACCGTGACATTGAGACTTTGTTGAAGTATTTTATTTATGATATATAACAACAGTATAAATATGTTTTATAAAACATATTGTGTAACTGATAATAAACATTTTAAATGTTGCCGTTATATAACATTATAACGTGACTGCCTAGCAAACATCAAATATTGATATTAGGTAGGTATATATCTTGGAAGTAACAAGTAATATTACAAATTAAAATAACATTTCTGCATCTACTACCCTACCTACGTTAGCTTTACTTTAAAAATTCCTACAAAATATCGTCAAAGTAATGGAATTTTTATTTACCTACCTACCTACCTAGCACTATATTACATATTGTATTACTGCAATAAATTACATCAGGTAACTTCATTTACGTAAAAACTTTTGTTTACATTTCTGGCTTATAGATCTGTTCTCATTATAAAAAAAACGGCCAGAAAAGTAAGTAACATTCAACGTGAAAATGTTCATTACATGTATATGTTACTGGTAAGGTTCTGGCAAGTTACTGGCAAGTTAAGTTACCGGCAACAAGTTCCATCTCTAGTGTGCCACCTGGTGTCAGGGACATGTAGGTACTATTTATAGAACGTGGTGCGTGGTGCTGTACAAATGGTGGCTCTTGTTCTCCTTTACGTTTGGTTGTAGTTGGCTCTGACACTTTTCTTAGTTTTTTGGAGTTTTAGTAGCGTTCCGTGATCTTTATTATTTGAGGAGGGTATAAACAACTGTTTTTAAATTATTTTAATAGTGAGTAAGAACAACATATCATTCGAGGGTGTAAAACAAAACCAAAACGAGTGTGTTGTGTGTGGACTGTGGACTAGTTCAGTGCTGTGTGGTAACGCCATACGCCATTGGTAGTAGCAGAGAAATTTACCAGGATCTTTTGAATCTATAGGAGTAGAGGCACAGTAAGTTAAGGTGAAAATCATCAAACTAGAAAA